TGCGTATTGAGCTCACAGAAAAAAAACGAACTAAATGGAATTCAAATTGGACTAGAGATTAGAGGCACTGTTCAATCAAACCCGGCTAACCAGATTTTTGGGGAAAAGTCTTAACACATTATTTGTCTTCTGCCTTGGACTGTCCACTCACTGTACATTTGGTTTCATTGAAATTCATCGTATTCATGTGTTATCTTGGTTACTGGTTTTGTTTACAGTAAATAGCGGTTTTATTAAAATCGTTAGAAAGTTGCGGTTGCAGTGGGCTTTTTCAATCAGGTTCAGCTTGCTTGCAGATTGAACAAATGTAGCACCAAATATTAGTGTGGTACAGTACACAATCATCTACTGTAATGATTACCCGGGGGGATGATCATTGAAGGGAAATTGTCTCTACATACCAGAATTGATCCGTACAGTTGCGGCTTAAGCCAATAAAGCTTCAAAAGGAATTATGTTTAAAAATAGTGTAGGTACATGTTTGAGAATAAAACAGTTTTTTTCTCAGTGACCTGTATTTTGACAGGGTTTCTGTTCTGCACTGATTTTTTGATAATTGTGTATTTTGAATCTATGCCCATACTGACTACCACCTCAATGCCCTATTTACCCTTCATTAGTTTGACCCTCACTGAGTATGACACAATTTACATTTCCCTGTATATTTATATCATCTAGTCCAATCTACCACACCCTGTTATTGAGGAGCAATCATCTAGTCCAATCTACCACACCCTGTTATTGAGGAGCAATCATCTGGTCCAATCTACCACACCCTGTTATTGAGGAGCAATCATCTAGTCCAATCTACCACACCCTGTTATTGAGGAGCAATCATCTGGTCCAATCTACCACACCCTGTTATTGAGGAGCAATCATCTAGTCCAATCTACCACACCCTGTTATTGAGGAGCAATCATCTGGTCCAATCTACCACACCCTGTTATTGAGGAGCAATCATCTAGTCCAATCTACCACACCCTGTTATTGAGGAGCAATCATCTAGTCCGATCTACCACACCCTGTTATTGAGGAGGAATCATCTAGTCCAATCTACCACACCCTGTTCTTGAGGAGCAATCATCTAGTCCAATCTACCACACCCTGTTATTGAGGAGCAATCATCTAGTCCAATCTACCACACCCTGTTATTGAGGAGCGATCATCTAGTCCAATCTACCACACCCTGTTATTGAGGAGAAACTCGTGGAAAAAGATACAGGAAATTGGAGCTAAAGGGGGGTGAGATTAAGGCTGCATCCCAAATGGCACCCTATTCCCTACACAATGAACTAAGTAGTGCACTTTATAGGAAATAGGGTGCCATTTGGGACCGACTAAAAATAGCTATTTTCCACATCCATGCCCCGGAGCTGGCCTCCCCACTCTGACAGTGACAGTGTCCCTGCTCCAGTCTTATCCTCCCTGTCAGGCTTATGCATCCTAATGACCATGCTCCCAGTGCCCTTTAGTCCAAGTGCTTTTATCTCACTGACACATCTCATAGCTCCTGACACGGCGCTGTCACAGAGGGTCGAGACTTTCAAAATCCCACTTAAGGAAGGACACGAAGAAACAGAGAAAAGCATGGCCGAGTGCGTGTCCGAGTGCGTGTCCGATTGAGCGCATCCCTTTGAAGGTCTTGGGATACTGCCTGCGATGTTGGTTGTGTAGCATGTAGCCACACTGGTAATGACTTTATGGATGGTTGTGGACAGCTCTACATTCACCCAGTAGAGCTGTCCAGTTTTGAGCCAACTGGAGGGTTGTCACTATCTGGTCAAATTGAAAAGTTGGAAGCCCCGCCTAGTTCTACAAATTATCTTCTTAAAATCTGATTTTAAACATAACCCTATCCTTAACCCCACTGCTAACATTATGCCTAACCCTAACCTTAAATTAAGATTTTCTTTTTAAAGCATATTTTTGTTTTCATTCATTTTTATTAGCCTATTTTGACGTTGCAGCTTGGCCGATAGTGGGAACCCAACTGGAGACCTGTAACCTTGTTGTGTATGGATTATAAGATATTTCGAAGTGTCTCACTTGCATAGCCACCAGTGTTGTGCTGCTTGGGAGAGTAATGGAGTGCAGTTCACAGCTGTCGGGAGTTATTAGAGAGCAATGTGGGAAATAGTATTCTAGTGTGTTCCTCCAGTGGAATGCAGGGGGGAGATAAGCAAAGAGCACATTTAGATAGCCATGGTTGAACATTGTTGTTGTGTAATACTCAGTCTTAATGATTCCCACATCTCTGAAGCTGTGAATATATTCGTTCTGAATAATGGTGGGTTTTGTTGTTCGTGTTAAGTTGGCTTTTTAACCTCTGACTTCAATTTGATATTGTTTAAAGCCTTGAATAGACTCAGGCTGTGTCGTTTCAAGCAGCACTCCCACTGTTGTTTTCCAAACAGGATGCATGCAGCACATTGCTTAACCCCACGGCTAAGTATTTATAGCTTTTAGAGACGTATCAGTATACCTCTTATTGCTCAGGCTACATTGGTTCATGTTGTATCCCTGCAACTGGAGAAGTACCTAATATATGATGCTTTTATTTAACTGTTATAGTAGGGTGGTATGTATATATTTCTATTTTAGTGGGGTTGTACAGTGGGAAGAAAAAGTATTTAGTCAGCCACCAATTGTGCAAGTTCTCCCACTTAAAAAGATGAGAGAGGCCTGTAATTTTCATCATAGGTACACGTCAACTATGACAGACAAAATGAGGGAAAAAAATCCAGAAAATCACATTGTAGGATTTTTTATGAATTTATTTGCAAATTATGGTGTAAAATAAGTATTTGGTCAATAACAAAAGTTTCTCAATACTTTGTTATATACCCTTTGTTGGCAATGACACAGGTCAAACGTTTTCTGTAAGTCTTCACAAGGTTTTCACACACTGTTGCTGGTATTTTGGCCCATTCCTCCATGCAGATCTCCTCTAGAGCAGTGATGTTTTGGGGCTGTCGCTGGGCAACACAGACTTTCAACTCCCTACAAAGATTTTCTATGGGGTTGAGATCTGGAGACTGGCTAGGCCACTCCAGGACCTTGAAATGCTTCTTACGAAGCCACTCCTTCGTTGCCCGGGCGGTGTGTTTTGGGATCATTGTCATGCTGAAAGACCCAGCCACGTTTCATCTTCAATGCCCTTGCTGATGGAAGGAGGTTTTCACTCAAAATCTCACGATACATGGCCCCATTCATTCTTTCCTTTACACGGATCAGTCGTCCTGGTCCCTTTGCAGAAAAACAGCCCCAAAGCATGATGTTTCCACCCCCATGCTTCACAGTAGGTATGGTGTTCTTTGGATGCAACTCAGATTTCTTCAAACCAAGCTGCTTACCGATTGCAGATTCAGTCTTCCCAGCCTGGTGCAGGTCTACAATTTTGTTTCTGGTGTCCTTTGACAGCTCTTTGGTCTTGGCCATAGTGGAGTTTGGAGTGTGACTGTTTGAGGTTGTGGACAGGTGTCTTTTATACTGATAACAAGTTCAAACAGGTGCCATTAATACAGGTAACGAGTGGAGGACAGAGGAGCCTCTTAAAGAAGAAGTTACAGGTCTGTGAGAGCCAGAAATCTTGCTTGTTTGTAGGTGACCAAATACTTATTTTCCACCATAATTTGCAAATAAATTCATTAAAAATCCTACAATGTGATTTTCTGGATTTTTTTTCCTCAATTTGTCTGTCATAGTTGACGTGTACTTATGATGAAAATTACAGGCCTCTCTCATCTTGTTAAGTGGGAGAACTTGCACAATTGGTGGCTGACTAAATACTTTTTCCCCCCCCACTGTATATAAATTAGGATACAACAAGACAGTGTCCAAATTCTACAATTCTCCGTTAGAATGCCCTGCTTTTATTTCGTCACACTCACAACTGTTTTCTGTAATTAGCTGGCCATTAACTTAATAATAACAATAATATGCCATTTAGCAGACGCTTTTATCCAAAGCGACTTACAGTCATGCGTGCATACATTTTTGTGTATGGGTGGTCCCGGGGATCGAACCCACTACCTTGGCGTTACAAGCGCCGTGCTCTACCAGCTGAGCTACAGAGGACCACAACTTGTAAATAATGATCTTGTTGTGAGTTTATTTTCCTGTAATAATGAATACAAATTAGCTAAAGTTAAGACGTTGTCAGCTATGATATGGTCATTATTTGAACTGGCTAGCCAGCTAATTTAACGTTAGCTAGCTAGCTAGCTAACAAGCTAGAAACAAACCAAAACATTGTTTAGAAAGTTGCTTTTAGTTGCCTGGTTTGCTAGATTGACATATACTAAATTCATTTTTAAACGGATGGGTTTATTGGTGTTAAAATACACTGCTGATGTCATGCAGCCTGTCGTTTTTTGTGTTTATACTTTTTCACAACGACAAGTTTGATGTCGGACGACAATAGAATGTTAATGACAGTGCGACAACTGTATACAGACATGTCGATAGACGTAGTATAAACCAGCCTTTAGTCTTGAAATCTTTGGTTGTTTAATACACTACCGTACTCACTCTGTTTAGCACATGACCTCACATGTGAATCCTTAAAGAGATGGGTGGGGCTAAGGCTTAAGAGGGTGTGAACGATGCGGATTTGGTGTAGACAAAGAAGAGCTCTCCAGTAGGTGTACCAAAACATTCAATGGCCATTTTCTCAAAAATGAGGTTACAAGTTTATCAACTTTCAAAGCAGAATTACTTTCCCATTGTTCCTCAACTGTAGTGTATAATATACCATTTTTTTTTTTATACCTCTGAGTCTCTACTTTTATCCAATGTAAGAAAAAAACACCACTGTAAATGTTGCTACATAAGATCGAGCCGGTCGGTCACATATAAGCAGAGCTTTTCTGTCATTTCTCTTCAGTCACAAGCACCCCAGTGCTTTTAGGCACACACCTGGTAATCACAACATTGTTAAATAAATTAGGTGTTGCGGCGTCGTGTTTATTTGTTGTCTAACCCATATTTATACACCATAGGCATTCTATCCTGCCACCAAGGGAATCAACGTGAAGTATGGAGACACACTTGCTGCTCGATGTGTCTTTACCGGGGAAGGGAGGACCACCAAAACATATATCGGGTGAGTTCCGGGTGCTCTCCCCTTGATTTAACTACTTTTTTTAATCAACAATGTTACTCTTACCTGTAATTAAAGTACCTCCCACTCAGACACTGTAGCTCCTGAGTAATTTAACGACCCCCCCATTTTTCTTATCCCCCCTGTAGAGTAAATGGTTTGTTTTTAGAGGAGTATCATGGTACTGTATAGGCTGTTTGCATGGGAGAGAGCTGCCTGAGAGTCCTTGTTTGCCCGCCTCAGAGCCGCTCCTTGAGTCTTCCACCGTCGTGTTTGCATGGTGTTGGGTTCTGAGCTGTACATCACTGGGCTGTGTGACAGGCAGCTGGGACTTTCTGCCTGCTTCCCACTGAGCCAGTGCTCTATCCTTTATCTATCTATCCATCCATCCCCTCTCCTCCTATATCTTCTCCTACGTCTCCTGTCCCTGGTCGCTGGCTGCCTGATGTCCCATGTACGTCTGTCAGGAGCTGGGGGAGCGTGTGTGCTCTGAGGAGGGAAGAAGCATCAGAGAGACTGCCTGTTCCCACATGTCTCCTGGGAACCTTGCATTTTTCATGATTTCCTGTTTGAGTGATCCCTCTGTGTGTCTGAGAGTGTGTATGTTAGTGTGTGTGTGTGTGTTGACTGTCTGTGTGTGGTTGTGTGTCTGCTGCGTCATTACTGTTGCCATGGCGAGGGAGAGAGGGAGGGAGTGTGCGATGGCAGCAGTGGCGGAGTGTGACCCCTCCCCCCCTCGGACAGAGACGTGATTAAAATGGCTTCCAAGAGGGGAAAAAACTAAACAAGAGAGGTGCCTTGTAAAGCTGATTGCTTTAGCTCACTGATTAAAATGAGAAATTAAAAGAAATTACAGCCAGGCTGGAGAGCGTCCATGCAGAGTGGTTGTGGACTTATGGGGGATTGAATCAAGCAGGTGTGTTTTGTTTTCAGTGTGTGTTACCCCCTCTCCACGTTGACTTCAGTCAACCTCAGTCATGTGAATCTCTGAGCCTTGGCGATTGTTGACATGCCGCCATTTTGTCTTGTTGACGACGCACAACAGCACAACAAACATTCCCACTGTATAATGTGTACTATTTTATGTGAAAAAATATAAAATAATAATGGCTTTTGACTCCGCCGCCGTTTTGTCTCGTTGACATGCTCTTCTTCCACAGAGGCACCTCTGATGACGAGATGTGCAACTTCTACATGATGTACTACATGGAGAGCAGGCACGCAGCACCCTTCCAGGAGTGCATGGAGGACGGCTCCAAGGAGCTGTTCCAGAACATTCCACCTGAGGCCAACGTGCCCATCACGGTTCCTCCAGAGATGATGATGCACCACATGATGCAATCTGCAGGAGCCCAAGCTACCCCAGGTAGTCAACTCCTCATATATCTAGTCAAATACAGGAATATGTCTCCTCAACAGGTTAAATGTTGATTTCACTGGTAGAAACGTTGGCTATTTTATCAGTAAACCCCAATATTTATTGTATATAAACTGAGATATAAATCCCAACAGTATTGTATATAAACTGAGATGTAAATCCCAACAGTATTGTACAGTGAGGGAAAAAAGTATTTGATCCCATGCTGATTTTGTACGTTTGCCCACTGACAAAGACATGATCAGTCTATAATTTTAATGGTAGGTTGATTTGAACAGTGAGAGACAGAATAACAACAAAAGAATCCAGAAAAACGCATGTCAAAAATGTTATAAATTGATTTGCATTTTAATGAGGGAAATAAGTATTTGATCCCTCTGCAAAACATGACTTAGTACTTGGTGTTAAAACCCTTGTTGGCAATCATAGAGGTTAGATGTTTCTTGTAGTTGGCCACCAAGTTTGCACACATCTCAGGACGGATTTTGTCCCACTCCTCTTTGCAGATCTTCTCCAAGTCATTAAGGTTTCGAGGCTGACGTTTGGCAACTCGAACCTTCAGCTCCCTCCACAGATTTTCTATTGGATTAAGGTCTGGAGACTGGCTAAGCCACTCCAAGACCTTAATGTGCTTCTTCTTGAGCCACTCCTTTGTTGCCTTGACCGTGTGTTTTGGGTCATTGTCATGCTGGAATACCCATCCACGACCCATTTTTAATGCCCTGGCTGAGGGAAGGAGGTTCTCACCCAAGATTTGACGCTACATGGCCCCGTCCATCGTCCCATTGATGCGGTGAAGTTGTCCTGTCCCCTTAGCAGAAAAACACCCCCAAAGCATAATGTTTCCACCTCCATGTTTGACGGTGGGGATGGTGTTCTTGAGGTCATAAGCAGCATTCTTCCTCCTCCAAACACAGCGAGTTGAGTTGATGCCAAAGAGCTTGATTTTGGTCTCATCTGACCACAACACTTTCACCCAGTTCTCCTCTGAATCATTCAGATTATCATTTAAATCCCAACAGTATTGTATATAAACTGAGATATAAATCCCAACAGTATTGTATATAAACTGAGATATAAATTCCATTAGTATTGTATATAAACTGAGATATCGTAGTTTGTTTGGGTCAGACTCTGTCCTTTTAATGAGTCTTTAAAGCTACAGTCAGGGATTTGTTTTTCAGCCGAAAAATGCAGCCCTGCCACTTGTTTGGGTAAAATGTTATGACTCGAAACGACCATTGAACAGATTTTGCAGATACCAGATTGTACTTATGAAAGGTCTCTCCATTTTGGCTCTGATTTGCATTTCTTCCCTCAAAGAGCATCAAGATGACATGGCGCTGCTGCAGCCCAAGCGCGAGGAGGAGGAAGTTCTGGATCAGGGTGAGTTAGCATGGAGAATAATAATAATAATAATAATAATAATAATAATATGCCATTTAGCAGACGCTTTTATCCAAAGCGACTTACAGTCATGCGTGCATACATTTTTGTGTGTGGGTGGTCCCGGGGATCGAACCCACTACCTTGGCGTTACAAGCGCCGTGCTCTACCAGCTGAGCTACAGAGGACCACAATAAGAAATCAATAAGAAATCATATTATTATAATCAGACTCTGTATACATCCCAAATGGCATCCTATTCCCATTATAGTGCACTACTTTTGACCAGGGCTGTAGTGAAAAGTAGTGCACTATAATGGGAATAGTGTGCCATTTGGGACTCAGCCAGTGTTTTCTAGACGACCTCTCCTAGAGCTGACACACAACACAGCAAAGCACTTTCTTCTAGGACGGTTTTTACAGAAATACCCCCGTTTTCTACAGCAACACCATTGTTTTCTACAGCAACACCACCGTTTTCTACAGCAATACCACCATTTTCTACAGCAATACCATTGTTTTCTACAGTAATACCACAGTTTTCTACAGCAATACCACCGTTGTCTACAGCAATACCACCGTTTTCTACAGCAATACCATTGTTTTCTACAGCAATACCACCGTTTTCTACAGCAATACCACCGTTTTCTACAGCAATACCACCGTTTTCTACAGCAATACCATTGTTTTCTACAGCAATACCACCGTTTTCTACAGCAATACCACAGTTTTCTACAGAAATACCACCGTTTTCTACAGTAATACCACCGTTTTCTACAGCAATACCATGTTTTCTACAGCATACCACCGTTTCACAAACCAGTTTTCAACAGCAACACCATTTTTCTACAGCAATACCACCGTTTTCTACAGCAATACCACCGTTTTCTACAGCAATACCACCGTTTTCTACAGCAATACCACCGTTTTCTACAGAAACCACCGTTTTCTACAGAATACCACCGTTTTCTACAGTAATACCACCGTTTTCTACAGTAATACCACGTTTTCTACAGCAATACCACCTTTTTCTACAGTAATACCACCGTTTTCTACAGATACCACGTTTCTACATAATACCACCGTTTTCTACAGTAATACCCACGTTTTCTACAGTCAATACCACCGTTTTCTACAGTAATACCACCGTTTTCAACAGCAAACCACCGTTTTCTACAGCAAACACCACCGTTTTCACGTATACAGTTTTCACAGCAATACCACCGTTTTCTACAGTAATACCACCGTTTTCTACAGTAATACCACCGTTTTCTACAGTAATACCACCGTTTTCTACAGTAATACCACCGTTTTCTACAGATCCACCGTTCTACACCACCGTTTTCTACAGCAATACCACCGTTTTCTACAGTAATACCACCGTTTTCTACAGTAATACCCATGTTTTCTACAGCAATACCACCGTTTTCTACAGCAATACCACCGTTTTCAACAGCAACACCACCGTTTTCTAACAGCAATACCACCGTTTTCTACAGTAATACCACCGTTTTCTACAGTAATACCACCGTTTTCTACAGCAATACCATTGTTTTCTACAGCAATACCACCGTTTTCAACAGCAACACCACCGTTTTCAACAGCAACACCACCGTTTTCAACAGCAACACCACCGTTTTCTACAGTAATACCACCGTTTTCTACAGTAATACCATTCACACACCGTTTTCCAGTACCACGTTTACAGAATACCACGTTGTTTCTCAGATACGTTCACAGCAATACCCACGCAGTTTTCAACAGCAACACCACCGTTTTCAACAGCAACACCACCGTTTTCTACAGAATACCACCGTTTTCTACAGAATACCACCGTTTTCTACAGCATACCATGTTTTCTACAAATACCACCGTTTCACACACACCGTTTTCACAGCAATACCACCGTTTTCTACAGCAATACCACCGTTTTCTACAGAATACCACCGTTTTCTACAGCAATACCACCGTTTTCTACAGCAATACCACCTGTTTTCTACAGTAAACCACCGTTTTAACCAACCACCGTTTCACAGTAATACCACCGTTTTCTACAGTAATACCACCGTTTTCTACAGTAATACCACCGTTTTCTACAGTAATACCACCGTTTTCTACAGTAATACATTTCCACCGCAAAAACCACCGTTTTCTACAGTAATACCACCGTTTTCTACAGTAATACCACCGTTTTCTACAGTAATACCACCGTTTTCTACCGTAATACCACCGTTTTCTACACGTAATACCAACCGTTTTCTACAGCAATACCACCTTGTTTTCTACCAGCAATACCACCTGTTTTCTACAGCAATACCCACCGTTTTCAACAGCAACACCCACCGTTTTTCATACAGCAACACCACCGTTTTCTACAGTAATACCACCGTTTTCTACAGTAATACCACCGTTTTCTGCACGTAATACCACGTTTTCTACAGTAATACCACCGTTTTCTACCGTAATTACCAACGTTTCTACAGTAATACCACCTGTTTTTACAGTAATACCACCGTTTCTACATAAACCACCGTTTTCTACAGTAATAACCACCGTTTCTACAGTAATACCACGTTTTCTACAGTAATACCAATTGTTTTCTACAGCAATACCATTGTTTTCTACAGCAATACCACGTTTTCAAACAGCAACACCACCGTTTTCAACAGCAACACCACCGTTTTCTACAGTAATACCACCGTTTTCTACAGTAATACCACCGTTTTCTACAGCAATACCATTGTTTTCTACAGCAATACCACCGTTTTCAACAGCAACACCACCGTTTTCAACAGCAACACCACCGTTTTCTACAGTAATACCACCGTTTTCTACAGTAATACCACCGTTTTCTACAGTAATACCACCGTTTTCTACAGTAATACCACTGTTTTCTACAGTAATACCACCGTTTTCTACAGTAATACCACCGTTTTCTACAGTAATACCACCGTTTTCTACAGTAATACCACCGTTTTCTACAGTAATACCACCGTTTTCTACAGTAATACCACTGTTTTCTACAGTAATACCACCGTTTTCTACAGTAATACCACTGTTTTCTACAACAACCATTTATGCTGTATTTTCTGTTTATCTGATATCATTTTATGTTATTTTGGTGTTTTCATATTCCATTGGTCAGTGCAACATGCACTCACAATTGATTGGTTGGTCTTTCTACAACTGTTTTAACCAATCGCATCATGTTAATTTGCATATTCTTTGTGATTGTTCCCTGAGGTCATTTTGAAATGTTTCAAAGCCTCACTTCTTCTTAATTCTGTAAAAACCCTGAAGAAAACCGAAATGCCTTGGTTCTACTTTTTGCAATAAAGAATAAATTTTATTTAATTCCATTTGTCCTCCAAGTGTTGATGAATCTTCTCTCTACCTCGGTTTTCTCATCAATTCATGCACCTTGGTTGGAAAGTGAGGTAGTGGCAGTGATCCCTTCCATTTCTGTTTGTAATGAAAGAAAGTCTTAATTCGGTCCTAATATGTCTCCGGAAGTCCTAATCCGTCTGTGGAAGAGTGATGAGAGTGTACGCGATGATGAAGTTGATGATGGTGATGGTGATGAAGATGATGATGGTGATGAAGATGATGAAGATGATGATGGTGATGAAGATTGTGGTGATGAAGATGATGGTGATGAAGACGATGG